ATGTCTGTCCCTCTCTTGTGACCATACTTTTAAAATGTGACACTTCTGGTGCATAAATGAGAATTCACTTTAAAATGTTAAACACAGTATTTGTTATAACAGCATATGTTATGTCAATGATGATTACAAATTATTAAAAATAAGCTTACTATTCAATAAAAATAAAATTATTATTTTTATCAAAACACAGGCAGAGTTATGATACAACTTAAAAATTCTAATGTACCTATATAAATACAGGTGAATGAAATAAACAAAGAAAATAATGAAACAGTTGTGTTTTAATATTACATACATGATATTTTTCATATTTCCAACATACTTATATTTAATTTAGGGAAAATTTTTCCTCTAAAAAATGTTTTAAATTATTTGGGAATTCAGGCAATGAGACTAAGTTGATTATAATGTGAATTAAATAATATTGTATCATTCCCCACCCTAAAGATATTTAATTAAACCTTCTAACTAAAATTAAAGTATGGGAATAGGGATACTTATGATTAAGACTTGCAATCACTAACAAACCCCATAGTATAATGTTAACTATAAAGTTACCTTAATAAAAAAGATACTTAATAAATAAGAGGGCTAGCTTCTGAATAAATCATACTTTGCTCTCCTTCTGTTCATCTGGATCAGAACTATCAAATGAAACACAAAAGGACCCAAATAGCAGTTTTCATGGTACCACAACTTTTCTATTTTTGCTTCATCTATTCTTGAGAATTACCCACATTCTTAAAACTCTTAGTTAAGCTGCATCCTGAATTATGTTATGTTGAGTCTTGAGTTTTTTGACAACCCAATCCTTCTTATCCTTATATCAACAAGGGAAAGTTGTAGCTTTAAATAAAAAACTCAGAGAAAGAAAAAATTCTATATCATAGCACACTATACCTCATGAAATAATATGATTTGTGATTTTACATGATTATTTATAACTTTATTACATAGACTATCAGCAGGTTATATCTCAGGTTTAATATAATAAAGTTTCTCTTGATATACCATGCATCAGAGCTTTTGCTTACAAAACAATGAAAATTGGTCACTTGCTTTCCCAATATAAAATATATAGACTTTGCCAGTTAGTTCACAGGAATGTTAGCAGCTAAGCTCTTTCAAATTCTTGGAACAAACTTGATTTTAATTAAAATTATAATTAATCCCAAAATGTTTGATAGTTTTCTTCAAGCATTTAAATGTGACATATGCACAAGTATGATTTGATTATCATATCTCTTTCTGAACTGTGTCTTTGGGAAAGTTATTTTAAGTGCATAACCTGTTCCATTTTGCTCATTTGAGATTAAGTCAATTTCTAGAAATATAATTATTTTTGCTTAAATTTCACTGTGCAACTCTATAAAATATAATTACATTTTTCAGTTAGTACTGGCATAATGAATAAAGAACTAAATGCCAGTTATTTTGTATGTTTTGAAAGTGCTCTGAGATATTTCAAAATAATATTCTCAAAGTAAATGTGGCACTGAGTAATAAATTTCTAACATAAAATTAATACTACATGAAATCTGTTTTGAAACATCTCACTCATGTTTAGAATTACTAAATGACCACTTCTCTTATAACAAAATAACACTGTAATCTGACTATCCATTAATACCAATAATAGCCCCCAAATAATTTTTTCCTTCTAAGCTCACCTTCTTTTCCAATGTAACTTTGTAGCATTTGCCATCAAGAAGTGAAGTCGGACCCCTTATCCCCTATTCTGAGCTGGACTGGAGACTTGCTTTGGTTTATCAAATGTAGCAGAAATAATTATACAGTTCTGAACCTCGACACATTGTAAGTTTCTCTTTTTCCTCTTGGTAAAGGGCTGTAGTGATAGCACAGTGGCTGGGGAATTTGCCTTGCATGTGGCCAACCCAGCTTCAATTCCTCTGTCCATCTTGGAAGGCCTCGTAAGCTACTGAGAGTATCCTGCCCGCATGTCAGAGCCTGCAAACTCCCCATGGTGTATTCGATATGCCAAAAACAGTAACAAGTCTCACAATGGAGACACTACTGGTACCCACTAGAGTAAATCGATGAACAACAGGAGGACAGTGCTACTGTGCTCTTGGCAAAAAGATCTAGGTTGCTGAAGGAGTATGAGACAACATAGTGTAGAGCTAAGTCAGTCCAATTTTCCCAGCCAAGTACTGAGCTCTGTGAAGGAGTCCTGCCTAGTTCAGCAGAGCAATAATGAGATTTAATTGACCCATGGCTAACAACAGATGTATTGAAGAGCTAGTCCTCTTGAAAGCAGCACCCAGAGTGTCACACACAAATTGGCTAAAGTGAATGTTTGGTGCTGTATACACCTATATTTGTATACTTTCTACATAGGATCAGTGCAGCAATAGATAACTGATTCAAAGTCTATAGATTTCAATTAATGTACTCAAGGCAAAAAGAGTCAACAAACTTTTTTTTATAGAGGATCAGATAGTGAAAGTTTAGGTTTTGTTGTAAGTTTAGGTTTTGTTGTCCCTGTTGTATATTCCTATCTTTTATTTTTGTTGTTGTTGTTTTGATTTTGTTTGAGGGTCATACTAGGTTGTACTCTGAGCTTACTCCTTCTCGGATAACATTGGTCAGTCCTTTCTTCTCCTAGGAGAAAGGAGTTTAGGTTTATTGTGCAACACCTATCACAATGCTCCCAAAGCACTCCCATTTCCTCAGCATTCATCTTTAACTTCTTTGTTCTCTGGTTCCCCTATCTGTTAATCAATTATTTCCCCTAATCAAACCTTGTGACTTGTAAAGTCAGATACCTCAGAGGATTCTGGATTTTGTATTTGTAAGTGAAATACTGCTTTTCTCTTTCCTTTACGTCCTTTGCAGTTTACTTTAGAGCAATGTCCTTTTTGTATAGACACAGGAGGACAGTTGCTATGCTCTTGTTTCTTGAGAGTTAATTAACTCAGAAAAATTTTACTTCTGGGCATCTGTCATATTTACTCATTTAAACCTCAATTGCCCTTAGTTCCTAGTACCCCAAAAGGAGGGTTCCAATGAAGGGACTTGGATGGACCCTGGGCAAGCTGTAAGCTTCGCTGGTATTGAAAAGGGACAAGTCAAGTACCATAAAACTTGTAAGTTAAGAGCATGGTCATAGACAAGTTCTGTCATGACCCAAAGAGAAGTGACTGGACAAGGACCCTGCTGGGGTTAGGAAGGACTAATCTGGCTTGAGGACTGTAGTCTATTATCTAGAGCGAGATGTTTCCAGGAGAGCCATCCTAGAAGCATAATATATCTCTTACTGTGTCCATACAAAATGACTAGAAAGATTATTAAGAACTAAATTTAAGATGATTGTTTAAATGTATATGGACTAAGGAAAGGAGATATATATGCCCTTAGATGAAATTCTGCCCTTGAGTGAATCTCCCTTTGTTTTAGAAGAAGCTTTCCCAGAAGGAAGGGCTTTTCATATGCTGATTGTGCTATCTGACCTATGTATAACTGCTACCCCCAACCCTTGGTGATTGTTCTTTATAACAGAAGGTTGTGAGAAGGGATAAGGGAGAGAGGAAAATATGAGATAGGGGAAGACTAGCTTGAGGGGCAGCGGGAGACTGAAATGAAAAACACTGGGATACTAGCATGAGAGACAAGTAGGAGACTGGAATGAGAGGCAGTATGAGCCTGGAATGGGGCAGAGATAAGAATAAACAGCAACTGATCACTAACCAGCCTGGCAGCCCTGTTCCCTCCTCCATGTGTCTGTCAGTGGCAGGCCGGGGTGGAAAAGTGAACTTAACGCACAAGGAGAGCACACACACTATTTGAACACTCCTGGCTCACCAGTGAAGGGCAAGTGAAAGGCACTATATCTCCAACCTCTTGCTAGGATCTTCTTAGCCAGAGAACTACTATGACAGGCTTTGTGGCCTTCTGAGTTGCTGAGGCCTCTTCCAGAAATAAGAAAAGCAGAAAAGCCAGATGCTTTTGTCAAAGATTACATCCCAGAATGAGATTAGGTCTCCAGAATGTAACTGTCAGGGAGTGGGCTGGATGTTGCAGGCCAAAACAAAAATATGTGTACTCTATAAGTATCTATCTGCTAAGTAATGCTTAATTGTCAAAATGAAAGTATTAGAATTTGATGAACCTAGCGATTGGGGTCCTTGTTGAAATCTGCTGGGTCGGGTGGATACTTGGACCCCAGCTAGCTGGAACAGTAAACTTCGCTATGTGATTTGCATTATCGGCTCTGTTCTCTTTCCTTGAGGGGTGGTCAACTCCGGACTCTGACATTTGGAGGCCTCAGAGAGATAAGACCTCTCCTCAAGAACAGACAACCCCGATAACGAGGTTTAAACTGTTAGGGACAGGAGTGTGGTAAGGAGGATTGGCCACCTCCATCTTGGGAGACTGGGAGATCCCTGTCTGGGGAACTGGGAGGTCCCTATCTCTTCTGGTTTTGTTTGTTTGTTTGTTTTTACAACCCTTAAAAAATGTAAATTCTGCTTTCCTGATTAGTCCCATGGCTGTAATTTGCTAAGCTCTGTTACAAATCCTGCAGAACCATGATGTAAAGTAAAAGATATTAAGGTTCAGACTACAAAGTAATGCAATAAAATCTCATACAGTTTTTAAAACAGAATTGTAATATGCTGGTAAAATTTTAATAACTATTTGTCAGGTAAATAATACCGCCTTAACCCATCTCAAGCAACCAAGGGAATATAGGTGAGAAGACAAATACATAATTGCCTCACATAATACAGTAAAAGCTGACTCTAGCATACTGATGTTATACTACCTACAGTACTGCCTATACCAAAAGCAGTAGTAATAAAGAAAGGAATTGATTCAAATGCATACAGTAATTTTTACTTAAACAATTCACTTAGTTGTCTATTTCATATTCCTGGTCCCAGAAAGTTTTGTGACACTGATTCTGGAGAAGATTCTCTTTCCAATCACTTTCTTCTATGAATGACTTGAATTATATTAATTATATATTAAGTTAAATTTACCTTTTTTGGCTTTCTCATCTACAATGGAAGAACAGGAAGACTCTGACTTATATTCCGGCATGGTTATTAACAAAGTTTTGAAACCTAGTTAGAAAGAAAAATATTTATACATCATGAATAAAATAGTTTATATTTAATTTTATAAGAAGTTATCAGTTCAAGGACTGATCGTGTATCAGGATATATTTCTAAAAGTATAAACTATTAATATATAAATATAAAAATCAATATCAATTTTTTTTCTTTTTGAGTCACACCCAGTGATGCACAGGGGTTACTCCTGGCTTTGCACACAGGAATTACTTCTGGTGGTGCTCAGAGGACCATATGGGATGTTGGGAATTGAACCCAGATTGTCCACGTGCAAGACAAATGTCCTGCCCACTGTCTGTTGCTCCAACCCCATCAAATTATTTTTTAATGTAAGTAAATCCAACAATATACTCTTCCTATGAGAACTAGTATAATTCTATTTGGTCACTAGTATAATTCTATTTGGTCTGAATTTTTTAATTCTCTTTAAAAAGAGATTTTGATCTGAAGTTTTCTGGTAACTTATACACTTGGCCCTACTACAAGATAACTTAGCATTCATCATTATAGACGTTGGCTCAAAATCCTACAAAAGTTCTGTAATATGAGGAGTTGGAGAGGTAAAATAGCAGTTTGACCAGGGTTCAATTCCTGGCACCCCACATATTCCTCTAAGCACCACCAGGAGTGATCCCTGGGCACAGAGCCAAAAGGCATGAACTCTGAAAACTGCTGGGTATGTTCCCAAAACAAAATTCTGGAATCTGAAATATTTTACTTCATATGATAAAGTTGAACCTTTCTATTGTATTCATATATTTTATATCTAAGGCTACTATAAAGATTTTTGTATATTTTCCTTTTTCCTTATATACCATAATAATGAATCTCAAACATGGGAAAATACATGTTCAATTTTATCTATATATTTTTTATATTAAAGCATTCTAGATATAGCTCTTACTATTAAAATGTGTTACAAAATCTTTTCAAGGTCAATTCCATAGTTTTAATTTTAAATTTTTAAAGGAAATGATCATATAAATCAGTTCTCAGTCACAAATTACTCAAGACACTATATCAACAACTGTTAAACAACTTGAAAACTCATTACCAAAATTCACAAAAATTAAACCTCTGAGTCAATGATAATAAGTAACACTTATCTAGCTTTCAAAAACCTAGTTATATTTATAGAATTTTTAAAATTATTTTTCCCTCTGTTCTAATGTTTTTTAAGGGTATGAAATTAAAGAGCTCCTTTTACCTTCCGTTTACTCATGAAAGTATTAAACAACTTTTGTATATCTTTAATAATCTTATAAACCATTTATTATCTCAGGCATTCTTTGGTGGGGGTTGTTTGGGCTACAAACAGCTAGCTGTGCTTACTCCTGGTTCTGTACCTAGAGATAACTCCTGGTGAGGCTCAGGGCTAGGGATATGTCCCAGGTCAGCCATGTGAAAGGCAAGCACCGTACCTACAGCACCATCTCTCCAGCCCCATGTCATATATTCTTTCCAGTAATCAGTATAAAATACTAATTTTTCAGCATTTATAAAAATATCACTTGTATTACTTGTCATTCCATTGTTCATTGATCTGCTCTAGCGGGCACCAGAAAATTCTACATTCATCCCTTTTTCCAGCTAGTGTAGCACAATGGCATCTGCTCACTCCAGGAATACAAAGAACCTCAAACCGCTCATTGAGGGTCTTGACCATTTCATAGGTTCTTTTGACGTTCCGTGGAATCCAGTTGGTAACAGCTTTAGTCCCATAGTCCTCTCTAAATCGCATTACATGTACAGCCCATCTGATTTCCAAAGCCTTGGCAAACAAGACAGCGTCCCTGATTCTTGAGTGTTGATGGAGGTCGGAACTCTGGATTCTTTCTCTCATTTGAGTGAAGCGTGATACTCCAAGCATAGCTCTTTTGATTCCTCTTTGGTTTACCCAAATAGCATTCTCATCCTGTTTGCATAGGGCCCAGGTCTCTAAGGTGTATGTTAATGCGGGAAGAACAGTGGAATCAAAGAGATGTGTCCGGAGCTGGAGGTTCTTTGTCCTCTTAGCTACTTCTTCAATGGTCTTGAAGATGTTCCAAGTCACTCACTTCCTCCTGCGAAGCTCAGGTGCCAGGTTATTCATCATGTTTGTCACATTAATTCCTACTGATTTTTAAAAATTTTTAGGGGTGGGTGCATTGGACTACATCTGGAAATGCCCAGGTGTTACTCCTGGCTCTTGCACTTTCAGAAATTACTCCTGGTGATGTTTGGAGGACCATATGGAATACTGAGAATTGAACCTGGGTCAGCTGCATGTAAGGCAAATGCTTTACCCACTATACTATCACTCTGGCCCCACTTGCTGATTTTTTAAAACCACAATACTACTGTATTTGGTTGAGGGGCTCTGAGACCACGTTCAGCTATGCACACAAATTACTCCTAGGGGACGGTACATGGTACTGAGAATCGACAAGGTTGAGATCATGTGTGAAGCAAGTTCCATAATTCCTGTACTGTCTCTCCAGCCCTTGATTTTATTTATGATTTGTTTGCTTTATTTCAGTTTAGTCTAAATGTAGCCAAGTAATCAAAGATTTTAAAATATGAGACAATGGAAAATACTTTATAAACTAGTTGAATGTTTTTTAGATGGGTGGGGGGAGCATATGATGGTGATAGAGCCTACTCCTGGCTATGAGTTAGGAATTACTCCTGGCAGTGCTCATGGGACTATGTGGGATGTCGAGGATTAATCCTGCTGGCCGTATGCAAGGCAAATGACCTACCCATGTACTATCGCTGCAGCCTTCTGAAACTAATTTTAAAGTTACATTAAAACAAATACTATACCCAATATTCTATTTATATAATTTTAAAATCTAATGTAAACCACCAGGCAGGGCAGGAACAAGAATCATGATCCTTGCCAGAGTCAATAATTAGATATGTGTATCTTGCCTGAGCTTAGAAATGACTCTAGATTAACAGTCTAAAGCATCTAAAGTAGGTTGCCATTTGTTTCTTTCATAGCTTAGGTAAAGGTAAGGTAAGGTAAAGGCCCTCCCATTGATCGTCGATTTGCTCGAGCGGGCCCAGTAACGTCTACACTGGAGACTGTTGTTACTGTGTTTGGCATATCGAATACTCTCGGTAGCTTGCCGGGCTATCCGAGAGGGGAGGAGGAATCGAACTCAGGTCGGCCATGTTGGCCGCTTGTAAGGCGAACGCCCTACCGTTGTGCTATCGCTCCAGCTCGAGCAAATCATAGCTTAGATACTCAGTTTAAGCAAAAGAAAAAAAAACAAACAAACAAAAAAGAAAACAGAAAACTAATTTCTAAATAATTGTTCATAAAATTACTGGGAACTAGCAACATGCTCATCAGAGAATGCAGGGACTCAAATGACACCAATATATATAATATATAGACCAATAATATAATAGGTTACGTTAGCCTCAGGTGTTTTTTTTATATTCATTCTCATTTTCATTCTAAAGATCGAGTTCCTAATGTCTCAAAAATATTTCTTGCTGATTCCTCATGAATAGAACTTCAACCATCAAAGAGAAAGTGACTCTTCGATTTTGTTCTAACATTCCTGGAAGAATGCTTATGCTTCTTTGGGTCTGTATTAAGTCACTTATTACTTTACATTAGGATACTATTATTGTACATAATTTCCAAGTATTTATTCTATTCCTGACCACTGCTATCGTCAGAATGAGGCAGCTTTACATTAGCACAATTATCCTCGCTATAATGTTGGAGATAGCATGGCTGAGGAGAATAACGAGAAGCGAATCCAGTAGACTTTCCTAGATTCTGTTCAAAGAACAGCAGGCAAAAATCTGTATTGTGGGGCCCAGATAATACAGTAGGTAGGGCATTTTCTTTTAACATAGTGACCTGATCTGATCCCGGGCATCCCATATGGTCACCTGAGCACTTCCAGAATTATATTCCTGAAGGCAGAGACAGGAATAACCCTGAGCATCACAGGGTATGGCCCCCAAAAGCCAAAAAGACAAGAGAATTTGTATTATGATAGAAAACATAATATTATTATAAGGGAAGTGAAGCTAAAATCCTCTTATAGTGGAAAATATTTAGGAAAATAAACTGAATTACCTTCTAATATCCAGTTAATCTTGTTAATATTTTATGAAGTTTGACATTTCAGTCATTCATTACTTATTTTGGAAATATTGATCTGTACCTTATTTATATCATTCTGATATTTTTCTTGGTGTATGAGTATTAGTAAGGTTTCATCTGTGTCCTCAAATATACACCAATTTGATTATATATTACATATACTTTGGTAATACCAAAGGATTTTAACACAGAAAAAAGCTACATGTGACTAAGACAATGATTGACTTCTTGCCTTTTAATTGCATGTTCCATTTTCTAGCCAAACTTGAAAACAAGCTATAGACTTTCATGTTTCCATTCCCTTCTACATTCTTTTAATTTTGCCTTTTCTTTGTGTCTAAATAGAATGTCTCTTTATGTTTTTTGGCACAAAACAATTTACTGCTTCTTGTATTTCTCAGGTAATCTGTTAAATATTCACATGTATAATTTTCCTACTAAGGTATGATATTTGAGAGAACTGTCACTGTCCTCCCGTTCTTCATCGATTTGCTCGAGCGGGCCCAGTAATGTCTCCATTGGAGATTTTGTTGTTACTGTGTTTGGCATATCGAATACATCACGGGTAGCTTGCCAGGCTCTGCCGTGCGCGCGAGATACTCTCAGTAGCTTGCCGGGCTCTCCGAGAGGGACGGAGGAATCAAACTTGGGTCGGCCATGTTGGCTGCATGCAAGGCAAACGCCCTACTGCTGTGCTATCGCTGCAGCCCATGAGTTTTATTTTATTTTTTATATATATAGTTAAAGCTCAACAGAGGAAACACTCAAAGAACTCTGATAATGAAGACTGTGAGTAATGTGAACAACGGAAAATTTTTTAATAAAATGTGAACATGAAAGTCATAAAATAGCTCATATGATATTTTAATAAAACA